TGCACTGCAAAGCAGAGCATTTGGGATCAGCAAGACACAAGACTTACATCACACAAGGAAGCTGCAGCCACAGAAACCACTCAGAGGCTGGAGAGAATGCCTAACAGCAAAAGATTTAAAGGACTCAGACTGTTTAGGTAAAAAAATAAATTAAAATAACTTAAAAAACAAAAGTGACTTGACCATAGTGCAAGAGAACTATCCAGGAGAGAATGTGGCAAGTATGAAGGCACTGGCATCCAAGAAATAAAAACAGAAAAATTGAGGACAGAGCTGCAAACTAGACATTTTCCAATGAGAGTTTTTTTGTTTGGGGGTGGGCTGGTATGGGGTTTTTTTTGGAAGAGCAATGGGCATTAAACACTGCCAATGCTCTGAAACATCAACAGATGAGCTCTCCATTTCTTGAAGTCCAGAAGGTGTCCCAGAGGGGATCCCTTAGCCAACTGCAGTTATGCCTACGCTGTAGTCTCTTCTTGCTAGGGTAAATCAGCCTGCTCTAAGCTCTCTTCTGCCAGGGGCACACTGCTACCACTTTCAGAAACAGCCAGTTTAAAACCAGTTTGCATAACTCCACAGTACGTTCCTTTCCAGAGGTGCAGTACACATACCTTTAGAAAGAGTGATGTCTGCGAGGTAGGAACCTGCTCAACTCTCAAAATCCACACAGCTAATTCTATGGGAAGGTGGTTGCACCGAGTAGCACAGCAATTCTCGTCGTTCCGAGGACAGCAGCGGACTTCTGCCCAGAGGCATGCAGCCTCCCTGAGCAGTCCAGCTTGTATTTGAACAGTTAACTATATATTAACTATAACAGTTAACTATATATTCTTAATTTTTAAGTATTTTGTAGTCATGAAAAATTAGTCAACGCCACTCCAGAGCACTGGTCTCCACTGGAACATTTCCTGGGTTTTTGATAACACTTTCTCCTGTGTAACTACCTGGCCCCCGTCCTTGCACTGAAGGTGGAAAGCAGGCAAGTAACCCATCAATCCTTCGGGCCCTTGCCAAGGTGACAGAAAACCAAAGCCTCAATAGAGACTGAGCAGAGCTGGGATGAGTAGAAGGGTGTAAAACCACTACACCCATCTGTTACAAGGGAATCAAACTGGTTTTTCATGAGGTGTCATTACAAAGCACTGCCAAAATGCCAGACCTCACCTTCCTAATAGCAGGTAGCAGAACAGAATCGTATATCCTTGCCTACTTAGCGCTCGAAGACAATACTCTCACCCATGGTCATGAAGACACACCTGCACAGGAGGTCAGGAGCTCTTGGTGCTGAGACAAAACGATCTTGTCAGCAAACGCAGGGCGAAGGGAGGCTGTGGCCAAGCGCCAGCCTGGTGGCATTGCTAAGACAGTAAACCAACGTGTGCAATCCAGTAACAGAAACACCTCAAACATGCTCTGTTGCAAGCAGGGAGATGCCTGTTTATTTCTCATCACCAGCTCAGCAAGCTTCCTCCAGGCTCCGAGGCAAACAAGTTGCCTTCCTTCTCCCATAATAAGGACCAAGTTGCACCATCCCTTCCACCTGTGGGCCTGGCACTTTCCAAGGGCTTGCACAAGCATTAGCGAAACTTGGTAAACAATTCTCTCAAGCAGCGGGTCCAGCCCACTCGTGCCATGTTTGGCTCTGCAGTGCTAAAAGTTGTGGAAACTCAAACCAGTGCTTGGTGATCACCAGCATCATCAATTGCTCCTCTTACCTGTTTCAAGTAATTCCAACCAAGCCACCCTTTTTCCTTATTGGCATCGAGATGTGTCTGGACAAGAACTTCCCCCATGCTCTAAGGGCGAGACTGAAAGTTATTTCACTCCCCCTGTGCGTATGTCCCCTTTGCAATCTCTCTGTAAGAGGGGAAATAGGGTTCTTGGTTACCTTAACTCCACATAGAAAAGCACTTTTATTCCTCTCTCTTTTTCCCTCTCCTTTCTCTAGAGTAAGGAACAGAAGATATCTCCTTTATCTCTCCCACTGCTTGTCAAACCAAAAACAGTCTCAGGTCAGCAAAATTAGGAGCTGCAGCAAGAAACAGCCAGGAAAGCAAAGTGAGAGAGATAAGAGTTTGACAAGAATGCTCTAGGAAAGTCTTTGAAGTCTTCAGCAGCTCCTGCTGAGCGTTACTAAGAACGACAGATTGCAACTGCACTTGACCCTAGATATTTGGAAGGAAATTTTGGTAATGGCAGTTTTGCTTTGTAGCCTCCTGCTTGCTGACACGCACAAAAGATACAGGTTGCTAAGAGGTGGCATGACAAATAAATCACAGGCAGGAAGGTACAGAAGGACCTCATTGGCTTGCCCAGAAAACACAAGATGGAACTTATGCAGGTGCTTATCAGGATGAGAAAATGAGTTGAGAGGAGGAGGCTTGATCAAGGATAGAAGACGCTATGGATAAAGCAAGGTTCCTCCTCTGTCGTGGCCAGGGGTACAGGCACAGCAACGTCAAGCTCCACCACACCAGCAATGCCTGTTTACTTCTGTCTTGGAAAACAGAAGCTAGTCAGCCTGCCAGAAGAAATGCTGGGAACTGACCTAATTATATAGGGAGTACCAAGTCAAACCAACTTCAGCATGATGCAACGCTTCTTTCCATGCCCAGCTCTGGGAAACTGCTCGCCCCCATAGAAGCAAACATCTGGTTTGCCCTTCTTGGATTAATCAGACACGTGAGGGAAACCATATTGCTTGCTGCTTTTTTAGCCAGCAGACTTGAACTTCCAGTGCTTCTTGTTTCTGTAGCACCTTCTGGTTGTTACCTTCACCTCTTACCTTGACAGTCCTCCAAAGACACGGGGAGATGAGTAACCCTCCACTGGAGCTGTGTCCAAAGACTGAGACACAGCGGTTTTGGGACTGATTGAAGCTGCGAGGCAGATCTGGCTGGGAAATGCCATCTAGAGGCCAAAATGTGCTTTTACCTATTTTTTTTACGTTGACTTCACTTACTCCTTTGACTTCAGTACAATCCTATTCTCTCACCACCTCTCTGTGTGCGGGCAGTGTTATCCTCACTTCACAAAGGAGGAGCTGAAGTCCTCTGCTGTGCTGCACCATGACCCCAAAGCAGTACCATCTCTTCTGCGCAGCACTGAGCTGAACCAGAACACGCTGTTCCTCAGGGCTTTCTGTACTTACCAGCTTGGGTTTAGCAGCTGCCTCTACTGCACATAGCAGAGGCGCATCTGAATCACCCATTTTCACAAAAGGTCGTTCTTCCAGTAACGAGCTATGAGTTCAGTGTCAGCTGGCTACATTACAACTGGAAGTGGGCCCCGCTTTACAGAAAGGAGCGAGGAACAAACATACTCCAGTCCTTCCTCACCCCTTGAAGCAGGTGAGATCTGGCCTTTTAGAAAACCTTGAGAACAAAGCCATGCCTCTCAGCCAGGCGCGGTTTCACCATATGAGTGTTCTTTTTATACGTCACAATTTATTCTTTTTTTTATATATAGATGGGGCACTGGTACACACTCACAGAAACAGTGAGGGAAGAAAGGGTCTTTCCATTAACACTGAATTTGTGCTGGCATATTGACGCATCACATGGAGGTTAACATGGCTCAGGGCTTTGAAAGTAGCATCGGTGTCCCGCTAAAATGGGATGTGGGATGACACAAGCAGATTTCAGAAAACCTAGGAATCACAGGGCTTTTTTTTTTTTTTTTGAACAGCACACTGCTGAAGAATAGCACTCTAGAATTCAAGCTTTAAATACAGGCTGGGGCTGGGGGGGTAAGCCCAAGGTGGCTGACCAGTGCAAACCAGAACTGTGTGAACTGGCCCAAGAAACTGGCTAGTGTTTACTTCAAGATCAAGCAAGGCAAAGGCTGGTAAAACTAGCTAGCTGTTACAGCAGATAAAAATTTCCAGAAAAAAGCCCAACATAAAACTCTCCAGAAAATAATCAGAAGATAAAATAAAACTAATTTCTAAGCAGCATATCCAGCTCTCAGATGAGGTTAAGGCTATTGAGGCATGTCCCATGCTTCTGAAATTTGAAACATCAAAACTCCTGGGGAGCCAGAACAGGCACGAGGGGAAGTTCCAGCTCTAACCTAAACTCTTCATTTAAAAACAACACCAAACTGAAGCACTTAGAAAGATTATAGGGTAAAGTACACTTAATATAAATGTCAAACTAAACAGCTTGGTGAACATAGTATTATGATAACCATTTTCTTGTGGAAATGAGTTTTTTCATGTACAAAGTGGTCAAAGCAACAAAAATCACCATTACCAGCAATAACATGTCAGACAAGATGAGAGCTTTGTGCAGTAGGATCTTCCAACCAATGTGGTTCTTACGGAAAGGGAGTGAGCTATGTTAAAATATTGTGTGCTGACCGAGAGCAGCCACAGCAAAGATTTCTCCCCCCTCAAAGGGAATGATTAAAATCCTGTTTCTGCTGAGATGTTCAAAATCGGATCTGCCCTTTCAAAGATAGAACACAAAATTAGGAAGTCATCTCTTCATGATTTATTTGGGTTATTTTTGAATAGAAATAGGGTCCTGCAGAAATGAAGGCACATGCTTCCTCGCAAAGAGCAGCCTAGCATGCCTTTTCTCAGGTTTCCTTCTGATGCCTCAGTGAGGAGCCAAATCACCCACCAATCATGGAGGGAATAATAAAATTAGCTTAAATGATTTAAGAGCTGGTAGCAGAACTCATTTTTGGCATAAGCCTCCCTTTCATCACTCTTGTATAGAATAAAGCCAAACCGCAGAGAGGAACCAGTCGTGAGAAGTATTTCATTACCCAGTCTGCAGCTATGAGAAGAGGTGGCTGTTATCACCAGAGCAACAAAACAGAGGACAAGGGTGGAGAGAGAAGACGAAGGAATGCTGATGTGCTGGGTTGGGATTGAAGAGGGCCCGGCAGGGTGTTTATTCAAAG